GGGGGGGGGGGGGAGAAATGAACCCAACCGAGCCGAGGATGGGTGGTTTGGGCTTTGATTCGTTCATTCACGGAGAGTAATTGGGCTCAAAACGAACTTTATGAATTTTGTGCAGAATTTGATCATTATTTTTAGTTCAAGTACTTGACTCGGCATATCTAATTAAAATAATCGTGCTCAAGCTTGTGTTACAACTTAAACTCGAGTTTGGGCTCGTGTTCAAGCTCAAACAATGCTCTTCTATAAATGTATGGAATTTACACATAGTCTTCTACATATCTATGTATATGATTATAGCAATCATATTGGTTTGGAGGCCTTCCCTAGCAATTTTTTTTTTAACAGAATTTTGATTTTATTAAACCAAAAAAAAAAAAAGAAAAAAAAAAGACAGTCTCCAAATAAAATTTTCAACATGCTATAGTAATTACTCATCCAACTTATCACACACCATCTATAACTTTCCACTGTCTGTCCATTCATCTAACTTGTATTGATAGAACATGATTAAAATATAAATCCCGTGCGTTGCACAGGCCACTCACTAGTGATGTGTTTATGACTCATTTGTTAAACGAGTTTTAAAATTAAATTTGAGCTCGGCTCGTTCAATAAATAAACGAACATTTTTTTGAATCAATCCTGTATTGTTTATAAGTAACTCATTTGTAACCCTAGTGACAATCTCTTTCAATTTAACTTCTCATCAGGATTGCTCTGTCATGCTTCTTTATCAGTCAGTTTTGCTTGCATTGCATTGCAGATAATATACACATGGTTGTAATTGATTGTAATTTTTATGAAAAATGCTATTTAAACTTAATTTGCGAACTTAATATACCATAGTCATTGAATTGATAACGAGTTCTAACTAATAGTAGGACCCACTATCAACAAATAGCATTGCTTAGTTTTTGTAAGGCATTGATCTGTGTTTTGTATTTGATTACCTTCTGTAGATAATGATTTTTAGTTGGATTGAAGCCAAAGTTAGCTCCTTTTGCTTTGTTCTTTACCTTGTACAAGATAAAGAATCCAAGACTAATGATGTTCAATGTTCTATTTAACAAGTATTAGGACAACTCAATTGCTCTTATGGATCTGCTTGCTCATGAAGATAGATAACTGTCATAATCATTAAGTACTTATCCAAATTTTGAGGCTGAGCAAATTAGACACTAAGGCACCACAACAAACTGCATCTCTCTCTATTGAGCGATGGATAATATACATTAAAGGCAATATGAACCGAATGAATGGTTGTAGTTCGTGGTGCAATTTAAAAACATAATAGTTCGGGGAACAATGGGAGACAGAGGAAGTTAAAACGATCTATAACGGTTCACTTTACCGGGTTCAAAACAGAGGAAAAGAATAATAGAAGGATGTGTTGAAGGAGTATGGAGAAAGAAGCTTAAAAGATCAAGTTACGCTGAAAAGAATGTCCAAGAGAAAGGGAATCCCCTGTCAGTGTATTGCTTTCCCAAACTTTCTGCCAATAAGATGTATAAAAAGGCCTCTTGTAGATAAAGCCTATGGGCTAAGAGTATGGCCAAAGCTTGGAATATATAATGCTTCTTCATTCGAGAAACTTGAAAACAATATACAACCATTGCAATTCCACACACTAAAACTAGAAATGTGTGTGTTGGACAAGAGATAGGAACTAAGGTACCATTGGATGACACATTTTCTAACACTTTTTGCATTTTTAAGTACTTTTCGAAGTAGTAAAACTATATATACCAGTTTTACGTAGATTAACTCCAAGATAGTTCAACTGGTAACAGGGGTGACTGTAAACTCAGGACGTTCTGAGTTCGAATTTTGATAATCCTTGGAGTCAAGTCATGAGAGATTTATCTCACATGAATACCCTAATTTTAGCGTGGATGACCTGCCATTTACCGGACCGGAGAGGAGATTAGTTGAGTTACGCGTAAGCTGGCCTGGACGCCCTGACCGATAAACAAAAAAAAAAAAAAANATGCTATTTAAACTTAATTTGCGAACTTAATATACCATAGTCATTGAATTGATAACGAGTTCTAACTAATAGTAGGACCCACTATCAACAAATAGCATTGCTTAGTTTTTGTAAGGCATTGATCTGTGTTTTGTATTTGATTACCTTCTGTAGATAATGATTTTTAGTTGGATTGAAGCCAAAGTTAGCTCCTTTTGCTTTGTTCTTTACCTTGTACAAGATAAAGAATCCAAGACTAATGATGTTCAATGTTCTATTTAACAAGTATTAGGACAACTCAATTGCTCTTATGGATCTGCTTGCTCATGAAGATAGATAACTGTCATAATCATTAAGTACTTATCCAAATTTTGAGGCTGAGCAAATTAGACACTAAGGCACCACAACAAACTGCATCTCTCTCTATTGAGCGATGGATAATATACATTAAAGGCAATATGAACCGAATGAATGGTTGTAGTTCGTGGTGCAATTTAAAAACATAATAGTTCGGGGAACAATGGGAGACAGAGGAAGTTAAAACGATCTATAACGGTTCACTTTACCGGGTTCAAAACAGAGGAAAAGAATAATAGAAGGATGTGTTGAAGGAGTATGGAGAAAGAAGCTTAAAAGATCAAGTTACGCTGAAAAGAATGTCCAAGAGAAAGGGAATCCCCTGTCAGTGTATTGCTTTCCCAAACTTTCTGCCAATAAGATGTATAAAAAGGCCTCTTGTAGATAAAGCCTATGGGCTAAGAGTATGGCCAAAGCTTGGAATATATAATGCTTCTTCATTCGAGAAACTTGAAAACAATATACAACCATTGCAATTCCACACACTAAAACTAGAAATGTGTGTGTTGGACAAGAGATAGGAACTAAGGTACCATTGGATGACACATTTTCTAACACTTTTTGCATTTTTAAGTACTTTTCGAAGTAGTAAAACTATATATACCAGTTTTACGTAGATTAACTCCAAGATAGTTCAACTGGTAACAGGGGTGACTGTAAACTCAGGACGTTCTGAGTTCGAATTTTGATAATCCTTGGAGTCAAGTCATGAGAGATTTATCTCACATGAATACCCTAATTTTAGCGTGGATGACCTGCCATTTACCGGACCGGAGAGGAGATTAGTTGAGTTACGCGTAAGCTGGCCTGGACGCCCTGACCGATAAACAAAAAAAAAAAAAAAACTACGAGCACCAAATGATTAGACATAATCTTATTCAGTGAAGGATTAATTAGAGTTAGCAGGACCTTGCATTCCAATATTCCTCATTGATTTTGTGAATAATTTGGTGTGCGTTGCTCTTTTTCATATACAAAATGTTTGTCTCGTAGTTACAGATGGAACGTACTTTGTTTTTTTTGACGAAACTATTTTTTAACTTAAAAATGTTATCAAACAATGCACAAATTTATTATCCAAGATGGAGTTACTTAGCAATGTTTACTTCTAATCACATCCAAGTGGGACCCTTATAAACCCATGAAAACTAAAGCCCTATGCAAGATTCTAACAGACTCATATTCCTTTGCTTCCTTTGAAAGATATTCTTTCTTAACAAAACTTTCATTACGTCTCTTCACATTATGACCATCATACCATGCAATATCTATATATAGCTTTCTCAGCCTCTTCTTATTATCTTCCACAGCAAACTTCAGAGGGAGCCATGAACAACTTTATGAGATTTTTCTTCTTGATTGGGATATTTCATTTGAATTTGATTCAGATTTCATTAGCCTCTGTTATTTCAACAGGAGACTTCACCAAGGATTTCTTTGTAACATGGTCTCCTAGCCATGTGAACACTTCTAATGATGGCCTTGCAAGAAGGTTGATACTTGACAAAGAATCAGGTAGGCTCGAGAATCAAAATTTCGTTTCAGTGCATTCTTTCAGTAGCTTTGAAATTGAGACATTTGAAAAAATGTTTCTGTAATGTTTCGAAAACCAATTAGAACCAGAGAAGAAATTTGAAAATTTTATTTCATAGGTATATCTTGCGATAGAGAAATTTTTATATTTACTCACTGATTCGATTTTCGATTATCACTAAAACCAATAGTTTTGGTGGAAAGAAAACGAAGTTTTGATATTTGGGTAGTGTCAGACGAGGATCACAATTTTGTTTTGGCGCTTAGTTATGGTGAATTTGAAAACATAAACGTTTTGAAAATATTTCAGAAACAAGGTGAAAACAAAGAAAAAATTTAAAATTTGTTTCCGAAACATTAATTGGTCGAAACAAACAAAACATTTTGAAAAATAAGTCGAAACCCACCGAAATATCTAGAAACGCATTGAAATACTTCAAAACATAGAAATTTTGATATTCAATCATTGATTTGTTTCGGTTTCCACGAAAATAGAAATGAGTCAACATGAAATTTAATTCCTTGGTCTCGTAAAGATGCAAAAAACCTATGCCACAAAATTATTTTGCCCTTAATTTCTTTTTTTTTTTGCTCTTTGAACTTCTCTAGGTTCTGGAATTGCTTCTAATGACATGTTCCTGTTCGGAGAAATTGATATGCAAATCAAACTGATACCAGGTTACTCTGCAGGCACAGTTGTGGCCTTCTATGTAAGCAATTGTTTCTCATTTCCCAGAATCTTTTTCCTCATTATATCTAACTCTTCCCAAACCCCGTAATAACAGAAATCTTGTGCACTGAATATGCCTTTTTATATGCTTATCAAAAAATTACAATTTGTCAATGCAGCTCACATCTGATCAGCCAAATCGTGATGAGATAGACTTTGAATTCCTTGGCACTGTGCCTGGGCAGCCATACATTCTTCAAACTAATGTTTTTGCTGATGGGTTTGATGATAGAGAGGAGAGGATTACCTTATGGTTTGATCCAACAGAGGACTTCCACACCTATTCAATACTATGGAACCTTCACCAAATTGTGTAAACCATTTTGAACACATGCTATTACCCCATGTTACCCAATTATCATTGAAAAATCTATATATGCAACTTTCGGGGCGAGTTGAACGGGTTGAGAGATTAATCTAGGTTCAACCAAAAATTATAAAATCGTTAACCCGAGTTCAACCCCATGAATTCAACCCAAATCTCTCTACTTGAGGATTGCCCATTTAAAATTTTTGAACTTGGATTGAACCCGGGTTACAATTTGAGTTGAAATGGGGTTCAATTTGAATTTGATTCTCCGAATACATAAATTGGGCTAAAATTTGGGTTCAATTTTAGTTGAATCCGAATTTGATTCTCGGATTACACAACTGGCGGTAAAATTCAAGTTCAATTTAATTGAATTGAGTTTTTATTGTTTGAATTGGAATTCATTAATTTGGGTTGGGCTTCAAAAACCTGAAACCTCAATTCTATTACTACCCAATTTACATGAAGTTATCATTTTATTGCCCAAACCCAACTAAAATCTCTACCCAAGTACTGGAGTTTACTGGTTGGGCTCTGGTTTGGTTCGGATTAGTCGGCCTAAGTTTCAACTCTATGAAACATTTATTTCAGGACAACTTTAATAGAACAAAAAGTTCATTATTTGTGTATTTATTATTTCTACATAAAATTCTATCTTGTTGCAGATTCATGGTGGATTGGGTTCCAATCAGGACATACAGAAACCATGCAGACAAGGGGGTGGCATATCCTAGGTGGCAACCAATGAGCCTCAAGATCAGCCTATGGGATGGTGACAGCTGGGCAACGAATGGTGGCAAGGACAAGATTGACTGGTCAAAGGGTCCTTTCATAGCCTCATTTAAGAACTACAAGATTGATGCTTGTGTGTGGAAAGGAAATCCAAGGTTTTGTAGGTCAAAGAGCTCAACAAATTGGTGGAACAATGATAGATCAAGCTCTTTGACTTGGATGCAGAGAAGGTTGTTCAAATGGGTTAGAAAGCACCACCTCATATATGAGTATTGCCAAGATAGCAAGAGGTTTCATAATAACCTTCCAAAGGAGTGTTCTCTTCCCAAGTATTGAGGAATAGAAAAGATTTAAATTGATTATAGGTTTTACATTATTGTCTGAGCAAAAAATATTTTTTTTTATCGCGCTTCTAACTATGATTATTGATTTTGTATTGTTCCAATTATTGATGGTAGAAATGTGTATTTTACAGCACTTGTGGGCATTTTTATGTCCGAACATAAGGGAACTTTGGTTTTGTGGAATCATTTCAAGTAATTGGGGGACAATTTAAGAAACTCGGCTGTTGAGGGGACAAACTAAGATCGTGGCCATGGTTAAGGAAGGGGTCAAACAATCTTATCTAATTTTTATTAAATAAGAACCAAACCTAATAAGGGTTTTCCCCTAATTTATGTTTAGATATCCTAAAAATGTCAAAGAAATGAAAGGTTTTGATGAGAAGAGGGGTCTACAAATAGGTGGAACAAAGATAGATCAAGCTCTATTATTTAAAGGGTGAGTTAAGGTTTTAAAGCTCTTTGGTCTATGTATCTGCATCATTTGAAGCAAAGCAACTTCTATTTATCTTTAATATAAATTTTAGGGCAAATGACAGTTTGTACCCTGAAAGATTAAGAAATTGTCAATTTGTACCTTCAAAGATCAATTATTTTAAATTACACCTTTAATGAAATTAAATGGTAGTGATGTGATCCCAATCATAACGTCCATTGCAATTTTCATCAAATTGACAGTGTGAGACGTACGTGAAAAGGGGAAGGGTCATAATCTAATAGAAGTCATCACGTGCATTTCATATGGCTATCAATTTGACAAAAATTGCAATCTCAAACATAACGTCCAAGTCGATTTTTATTGGATTGACAAGCACGTGAGATGCAAATGAAAATGGAAAGCGTCATAATTCGACAAAAGTCGTCACTTGCATTTAATGTGGATGATAATTTGATAAAAATCGTAATGAACATTACGGTTGGAATCACATTGCTACTAATTAATTTAATTGAGGGTGTAATTTGAAATAATTGATGTTTGAGAGTGTAAATTGAAATATTTTTAATCTTTCGGGGTGCAAACTACTACCTGCCGTAAATTTTAATCATATCTAATTGGGTCCATTTCGGGCTCTGTATTTAAGTTTATAAATTATACAAGCGCTAAAGGTTAGGTTTGTACCCAATTCGACCTTTTTTTTTGGTACGAGCGCATAATTTTATTAAATATGAAATAGAAAAATTATACCTAGTCGGGAGACGTAATAAGCCTTACCCCTCAAGTGCATAAAAACTAAAGAAAAACTATAAAGGTATGTAAAACGTTACTTCAAGCTTGGATGGAGATGTATGAAATTTCATCAAATTTTGAAGATACAAGAGAAGATCTTCCAAATCTTGTGAGAAATCATCACCTTTGAGCGCGATATTGTAGTTGGTCATTTAGTACTAGAAGCCTTCCTTGGATTGCAAAATCCTCACAACCCTGCCTCCATCAATTCTCATCAATTGAAACTAATAGGGAAGGCTAACCGATTTAATAGACAATTCTTCATCATGTTTGTTCAATTTGATACCTAAACAATCTTAATAGAGACAAAATTATTGGCTTCCCTTTACATGTGGGGTTAATTTCCAAATCACACTCAAATTCAACCAAGCTGGTAGCCTTGAGTTGCCTTAGGAAATTGGATGGAGTGGTTTAAAAACAGAGCTCGAGATAGGAGAATGAACTAAGATGAGATTTTGGGTTTCCTGCAAGATTACAATTCGATCAGACGGTGGTTCTTTACTCCCTCAAAACTTGCTTCTTAGAGCAACTCAATGTACTTGACTCCTATCATTTCAGAGTTTGAGAAAGTTAAATTTATGCAATCTTACGACCTTTCAGAAATATTGTTTCTGTTACTTCAAAACATTATGCCCGCTTTACTCAAAATGAAAAAACGTTTATGGCTACGCTAACATTCAATCCTCGAAATCCAATATTTTCTCTCTCATCTTCAATGTTTTGATATAGGTTTACGTTATGGGTTAAATTTAGTATGATACGATGGTGGTTGTTGATTATGCATGAAGCAAGATGAGATCATTGATATCACAGCAACTGCCCATGCTCACACACATGTCCATGACATGGCTACAAATTTACATGTCTTTTTCTTACTACAGAGAGCAAAATGCTAGCCAAGTGATGCTCTCACCAACTCTACCGTTTTATCCTTGTCAATTTGGTAAATTCTACTTATGGTAGGTAGGTAGGATATAATACAAGGAAGAGAAAATTACATTTTGATTCCTTAATGATACCTTTGTCTCACAGTGTCCCTTTAACTATTATGTTTCTCACATTATTCTCCGACTATGGTTATTGATTTCTCACTAATTTCCAAATGTCTGCCATGAGTGGGACGAAAATATGTCATTTTACCTTCCAAACTGTGTTATCTAGCCGCTTTAGCATTTTTTGTTTAAAAAGGGATTTCTCTTCCGTTTGAACAATGCTTAGCTTAGGTTGGCTAACCAAACCCCCAGTGAGATAGCTTTCTTAAGGATTGGTTGTCCTACAACCCATGCTTTCCATGCCACGTGCTTCCTCCAGTATTGGAACTGGGGCTGTCCTATATAGTCAAGCTCGGTCCTCAACAAGCGAAAATGAAGGTTCTGTTAAGCATTCGAGATCTTGAAGTCGGGTCGAGAAAGTAGAAATAGTCAAAGTCAAAGTAAAAAGAATTCGAGTATTAGACAAACTTTCACATGCAGTTTCGTAACTTTAAGAAAGATTAGGACTTTTAGACAAGCTTTCAACCAGTTGGGGACAACATGAGACTAAGTCAAGTAATTGGGGAAGACAATGAGAGAGACTCAATAGTGGAGGGTACAAGGTAATTCATAGTGAAATTTACCCTATAATCGATTCTTTTTGTGAATCCACAATGAACAAATTAGGTTAGTTGATTAGACCCTAAAAACTCTACGTCAAATCTCGTGGAAAATATGTCCAAAGGGACTAATATGAGGCTATTATTGCATCAAAAGAGCAATGCTTCACAGTTCGCACAACTGTCAATGCCTGAAATATAGCAATTTGGTCCAAAGTGGCTATCACCTTGCCTTTAATTTTAACAGAAACAATCTTCATTGTCTCATAGTATTGACTTCTAAGCAATACTTTAATGGGTAAGGTTACGCTATCGACGCGCCTCTATAGATTTTAGCCACTGATTTCAAATTAAATGATCTGTAACTATTAATTAAAAAAATAATAAAAAAAGAAAATTATACACGTGATACATTTTTACTAGTTAAAAAGTGATGGTACAGTACTAAAAAAATATTTTTCGATATTGTATTGGGTAGTAGGCTTCCGTGGAGAAATGATCAGCAAAAAGCTCAATCTCATGAGCTGGAAAATAGTTAATTACCCCAAAGGGAAAATCCCATTTTACCAGACTCACGAGAGAGAGAGAGAGGAAATATGCAGCTGTCAGGAATGTTGACATCTTGTAACAAAAAACCATCATCTTCTTTTGTGGTAATCTTCACGAGTCTTGTTTTCTTAGATTTATATATATATATATATATTTTTTTTTACGACCGTGTTCATGGCACATATAAATCACGTATATTTAGATTTATATTGGATAAATTCATATTTGTGTTAGTCCATTTATGAATGGGTTTGTCTGGTCAACCTCGGTATGAAGCGAGCCTATTAAGGGCAAACTCACTTAGTAAATTGCTGTTGAGGGCAGCCTTTAAATTCTACCGTGACGATAGTCTCGTATATCGAGTTAACGGGAAAAATAATAAACTTGTTGATAGTTAAATAAATAGTAACCTATTAAGAAAGGATTCTACCATAAATGTAATCCCATGATATATGTAATTTGCAACAGATCTTAACGATGTGTTCCATCAAAGCTGACTCACAGAATTAAAGGGTGTGCGAGACTAAGGTTAGTGATTCAAAAGAATATTACTCCATCAAAACAATGTCAATATCAAATATCCTTAGTTAGAAACAATGTCCAAAACCTGGTACAGCTAAACATTCCTCAATGATATTCTTGCTGAGACAGAATCCTCCCCCCTGGGCGAAATATATATATAAGAAATTGGACCTCACACAAACTAATAACTATCCATCTATGATTAAATAACTAGTCACTTATCTTTCATGTAAGTCAAGAACTGTCCAAGTCAGATTAACTTTACCCATTTAGATAACTACTCCTTCGTCATTCATGTAAACTAAGAACTACTAAAGTGAGGTTAATTTTACCCATTTAAAATTTTATTATTAATAATGAATTGGTATCACCGTTGTATTCAATATTCTCTCTCCCCCCATGGATGTATATATATATATATGCATCATCTGCACTGGCTCTTTGTCATCGCAAGTGGCTAAATTCAACAAAAACAATGATAAAATATTTCAAATTTGATACCATGATCTGGGTTCTTACCCTGAGTTTGGTTTTAGCTGGGGTAGCTTCTGTTATTTCAACAGGAAACTTCTACAAGGATTTCCCTCAGATATGGTACCCAAGCCATGTATATACTTCGGCTGATGGCAGTTTGAGAAGCTTAAAGCTCGACCAAGAATCAGGTACTTCCACAACGATTCATATGTACACATATACACACACACACACACACACATATATATATTATATAAAGATTTTTTTTAAGTTTAGCGGTTAGAAGTGTCCAGATTAATTTACGAGTAACTCAACTAATTTTTTCGTCGGTCCGATCAAAGACAACTAATTCACATCGGGATTAAAGTAAGAACAAAGATTTTCAGATAAAAACCTATTAACTTTTGTGACTTGAAATTTGTCTAGGCTCAGGGTGTTGGACAAATGAACAGGTCCTTTTTGGGCTGATAGACATGCAGATTAAGCTGGTACCTGGGTACTCGGCAGGCACAGTAGTGACCTTCTATGTAAGCTACTTCAGTCCCTTTAGCTCAAATTACACTTTGACCCCATCAATTATGCCCCCTATCTTATATTGCCCTCAACGATCATATTTCTCACATTTTACATCCATACCTTTTTTTTTTTTTTTTTTTTTTTTTCTTTTTNCCCTATCTTATATTGCCCTCAACGATCATATTTCTCACATTTTACATCCATACCTTTTTTTTTTTTTTTTTTTTTTATCCTTTTTCAAAAAAAATGGCTACTCCAATCAAAGATAACGAACATTTGTATTTGCGGCACCGTGAAAGCCAATTCAAATAGATTATGGGGTCAAAATGAGAAATTCGATATATATTTTACGGATGTGATCATTTCGAATTCATAGTTGATGGTATCAAAGTATAATTTTCCGGACTTGTTTATAATCTTGCTCACATGTTTGTTTAAAACTCTGGATTTGGGGTGTTGCAGCTCATATCTTCGCAAACAAATCGTGATGAAATAGATCTTGAATTCCTTGGCAATGTCACTGGTCAGCCCTATGCTCTTCAAACAAATGTGTATACAGATGGGCATGCTGACAGAGAAGAGAGAGTTTATCTGTGGTTTGATCCAACAAAGGACTTTCATAACTATTCTGTGCTGTGGAACATCCACCAAATTGTGTACGTAAAGCCTTTCTCAAAACATTTTGCTATCTGGTTTATTTTTTTAAAATAATTATGTTATTTGAATATAATTTATTGGATAATCTAATTTATCACAACCGTTGGATTGGTTGCGGATTTCAAAGATTCGCGATCAATCCAATAGCTATAAATGGTTATGTCAGTAAATTAAGTTCAAATAACATTATATCCCACTCCTTAATTGTTAATCACACACACACACACACACATATATATATATATATATATATATATATATATAGATATATTTGCATAAGATTATTTTAATAGATGCCTTAGGGACACCCACTTGGTATTCTACCACCGGATGGTGATTATAAAATAATAAATGAGTAATGATACAATGACTAAATTTTGGGATCAAATTTGAAACCCAAATGATATGGTAGTATTATTTGAAATTTTTATTAGGGCCTAAATAACATGACACCAATCAAATAAGACTAAGTCAACTGTCATGTCATTTGGGCTCCAAATTTGATTCCAAAATTTGGTCAGTATAGTGTTACTGATAATAAATAAGATTGGTGGACCTCATTATTCAAATATGACAGATATTAGATAAGGTAAATCGATTGGTGACACCACGTGACATTAATGACATGATGTCATCGTTTCACCCAATATTTTCTCGCAAGTTAGGGAGGTTGGACATGTTACGAGGTCGAATTGAGCTCAAGTCAAGTTATAAAACGTCGGACTTGAGGTCACCCAAATTTGAACTCAACTGGAATATTAATTGTATTTCAGATTTTAAACCCAAGTTGAACTATGGGCCACAACTTGGATTGGGATTGACTTTAATTCTCGGTTTACACAACACTCATATTGAAATTTGGATTTTATTCTCGAATTACAACAATCTAGTTGAAATTCGGGTTGAATCCAAAAGCACTAATGTGGATGGAGTTCTTAAAACCTGAGTATTGCTTGAATTTAGATCTAGTTAAAAATTTGTAACCCAAGTACATAGTATCTTGGGTTAGCTTCAGGTTGGGTTCAAATTGATCGCTTAAGTTGCACTCCTAAGTCCTACCACAAGAAAATTATGGTTTAACAACAGTTTGGAGTATTGTAGTGCTCATACTAATGGGTACCACGGACGATAAGTGCGGTCATTGGATGTTTATTCTTTCTGCAGATTCATGGTGGACTCTCTTCCCATTAGAACATACAGAAACCATGCAGACAAGGGAGTGGCATTTCCTATAAATCAACCAATGAGCCTTCATATCACCCTATGGAACGGCGACAGCTGGGCGACTAGGGGTGGCCGGGACAAGATTGACTGGTCAAAGGGCCCCTTCATGTCTTCATTCAGGAACTACAAGATTGATGCCTGTGTTTGGAGAGGAAATACATGGTCTTGTGTCCAAAGTAGCTCTACAAATTGGTGGAACCAGAACACATTTAGTAGTCTAACTTCGAAACAGAGAAGTTCTTTCAATTGGGTAAGAAAAAACTACCTCATATATGACTATTGCCAAGATAATCAGAGGTTTCAGAACAACCTTCCAAAGGAGTGCAATCTTCCCAAGTATTGATCAAGGTGGAGAGAGAAAATGATTGTTCTGTTTTTATTCTTTGATCTTAATATCAATTGATCTCATGGTGGTAGATCCAATACCAATATAATGGTTATAGCTCTTTTGGGATGAAGAAATCTGTCTTGGATGTGAAGTTTAAATTCTGGCTCATATAACTTGCGTGGATTGGTTCAATAATCAATAAATGGCGAGATGTAAACATGCATGTTTGTTTAAAATTCAATTTAACCAAGGCAATTGGTTTATGGGAGATTGAATATTTTAGATTTTTATGTTGCAGTCACAAGTCCAAAAGACGCGTGTGGTTGAAATCATACCGAAAAAAAAAAAGAAAAGTTGATTCAATACAATTGAATACGATTATAAATATTTGTAAATTTTATATACGAGGCTCAATTATACAGATGTAGAGAATAAAAAATACCGCCCCCTCACGTGATTATGCGCACTTGGATGGAAAAAACACCAAATTCATACAATCGTTTAGAACAAATTATAATACTAGCGTTCAATTCCATAATGAGGTTACTGATACAAGTTCCAGTACGAAGGTGGATCAATTCCATTCCATCACAGCTTTTTCAGTAGAGCTTTCTCTACTCTTATTACTTCAATTAAGCTTATAATTACTGCTCAAATTAATAGCTTATTTATCAAATATCCCCTTATAACATTAGCTGTTTAGGCAATTAAAGCTCAAGCACCACTCTAATATGGGCGCTGCCCAACATAGTTGCCTGGAGGATCATAGCTACAAATGACAAACCACCATCCATTGTTGCACTGAACCCTAGCACACCCGAGCCGAACCGAGTTGCGCCACACCACCTGTGTATAATGCAGACATTCGCCCCCAACGCAGGAGTTTGTGGTATAATTGTAGCATGGCCTTTCTGCAACCCACAAGTTCACAGCAGCAGTGCCTGTGAAAACACCACTACCCTTTGCAAGGTTCTCGCCATAAGACCCGTCTGAGTGCACGAGATTGCAATCACTGATCCTCTGATTGGCATAGTTTTGTGCATATGCTGCAACAGTGTTGCTCCATGTAATGTTCGCGACGCCCACCTACAGTGGCAGAACCAAAAATTTTAAAATCGAGAATGTTAATAGAAAAAAACTAGTATATATAATAAAAAATTTCAGGGGACCAGATAATATTTTTGGAAATCAATTGGAAATTTTGGAGACGTAGGGGGCCATCGCCTCCCCCCACAGTTCATAATCTAGTTCCGTCCCTACGCACCTGAGCACGAGCTGCGTTATGAGCAACAAGGTAGTCTTGTGGTGAGTTTTGGGCATTGGAGGGACTAACAAAGGCTAAGCTTATGAAACAAACAAGAGCTAAAGGAATTTTGTAACACCCCATATCACTTATGGAAAATGCAATGCAAACGTTGAGATTCTTATTGTTTGATGTGTGAAAAATACTTACATTCTAGGGTATTTATAGACCTATATATAGAATGTGAGTACACTGCAAAAGCTTGGAAATTAATAGCATGTTGCAGAAGTGCTAAACACTCTTCATTTTTCACTTTTAAGCAACCCTATAAAGCCATCAAAACATCCCCTTTGGACTTAAATACATCCCATAAGACTATATTAGAGGTGACTCAATCGAGTTATAACGTATCAGTTTGAGTTGTATTATTTTGATTCCTGTCTATGTCAATATTCAAGTTAATGAAAAACTATTTCAATACCAACTAGAAGAGCGTCTAAAACTAACTTGATTAGTTTATTATGATTTTAATGGTGGTACATTTTTTAGGGTTCATATCTTGTTCATGTTGAAGAGTAAATTGGAACCAAGACTGCACAATGGACATTCATTCTGACCAACTTGAATATTAGTGGCATGTGGCAGAAGGGTTATGAACACACCATTTTTGACCTTTAAGCAACCCTAAAGGCACCAAACCATCCCCTTTGGACTTAAAACCAATGACTTTCGTCTGCAGGCATGTTTAAAAGATAATGTAATAAAAAAACTGGGCTTGACTTAAGATAATTTGAATATTTACTTTTCTAACGGAAGAAACTACGTAGTGCTTAAGTCAAGGAATCAGAAAATGCAAATAGAAAATCAAACAATCACTTTAAAGGATCTAAATTCTCTTTGTTACACTTTTATATAATTATTCAATGGTAGATCATCAACCGTATATGAGTGAAGAGCCCACAGATAAATAGTGGGTCTCAGTTGAGTACATGGTAGATAATCTACCATAAAGTGAAATTGTATGAACAAGTAATGGAGAAAATCTCACGACCAGCCCAGAAAATACTATAATTCATGGTGTTTGACATCTCATCCAATTGAGCAAATATTCTTGTGCTATCTACATAGAAAATGGTATAAATCATGGTGTTTGATAAAAAAGAATGGTTCAATGCACGAGACTGTTGTCATTGTAGATAATGAGGAGGGTCAGTATACTGATCAGTCTTACCCTCATATATAGAGATGTTATGAGTTTCAGTTTTAGAGTGAGTTTGTATATCTTGAATGTTAACGTTAGAGATGATAATGTGTAAAGAAAGAAGGGTGAAAGAATGCGCGTTGGACTTTATGACCCAAATGTTTCTTTTTTCCCACCAAGGTGTTCCATATATGGAGCACTTTGTTTGCTTTTAAATGTTGGTTATCTTCATCAAGTGTTCAATGGTTCATCACCATTTAAAGCAAAAATGTACTATAGTGTAATGGATGGTAGAATAAACAGTGAAAGAGATAGGGCTTTTAAAGTGGCCACATTCAGTATACCCAAGATTAGGATGATATGATCATTTGGGATAATCTGATAACACTTTTTATTTCCTTTTTGTTTTGTCTAGATATGATTACAAGCTAAGAGGTGTGGATGATTAGGTATGTATACTTTGAAACTAGTCAATCTATTCTTATTATTCAGTCGATTGATCTATTTTTCACCCAATCCTATTTAGGTAGAAGTTTACGGTACCTAAAACATATTTTCTATATTGTATTACCATGTATAAATTTTTAGATATTTTGTATAGTTTTTGTGCTCATATATAACTTTTTGGAATTTTATGAAGATTGATCCCAAGTATCCTAAAAAATTATAAATTGATACTAAAAAATATTTACTTGAACCCTAAAAGCTAAAACATGACCCAAAAATTATAAATTTTGTAGAGTCAATCCAAACTTCGATTGTTGTAAACAAATCTTCAAAAACTTTTTACCTCAACCTAAAAACCTTGTAAACTTAACCATAATACTAACGTCAAATTTCTTATTTAATATTCCCTGACTGTCGAAGTTAAGCATCGTTTGTGAGTTAAAAAGTCAAGCTTAGACTTCACTTAACCCTAGAAACTCGAGTGTCAAAAAGTTGAAGGAAAGCTAACTCTGTGAGACACTTCAAGTGATAACAGGATCGAACTATAAACTCATACCTGTTGAGTTGGAATATTGACAATCCTTTGAGGTTAGGTCATGAGAGATTTATTTCTCATAAATCTCCTAGTACTATCATGGATGACTTGCCTTTGATCGGACCAGGGAGGACATTAGTTGAGATGTGAGTAAGTCATCCGGACACCCTGACCGTTGAACCAAAAAAAAAAAAAAATTGAAGAAAAAATATAAAACGTGAGCATCTAAATAATAATATACCTTATTACATTATATCATTGAATTTGTAAGGTCTTTTTGCAAAAAAAAAAAAAGAGAGTAGTCTTGCCATAAATATGAGATAATTTTCACAAAAATGTATGGAATACCCTGTACTTTCTTTCTCTCTTTCCTGTTGTTTGAAATGTTAGCTTAATAAAGATTGCATGCACTGAACTAGTAATAGTTGCTTTAAGGTAACAACAATAATATTTTGACCAAATTTATTGACTAAATTTGTAGTTTGACTAGGGGTGGTTTTTTCATAATAAGTGGGGTCCACTCTCAAATAAACGACAACTATGAAATTAGCCAATAAATTTGGTATTATTGGTAAGTTACTAATAAGGGCGTTCCCCAATCCAGTTGCCTGGGGGATCGTAGTTACAGGTCACAAACCACCAACCACTCCTGCACGAAACCCTAGCGCATCCGAGGTGAACCGAGTTACGCCAAACCACCTGAGTATAGTGCCCGCATTCTCCCCCAATACACGAGTTCGACTTGTAGTCATACTTAGGCTTCTCTTTAACCCACAGCTTGACAGATTCGGAGCCGGTGATGGCATAACTGGCCTCGACAATGTTTTCCCCGTAGGGGCCATTGGAATGCACCAGCTTGCAGTCACGAGCCCTCTGGTTGGCATAGTTTTGTGCATAGGCAGCTACTTTGTTGTCCCATGTCATAGGATCAACACCCACTTGTGCTCGAGCAGCATTGTGAGCAATGAGGTAGTCTCTGTGTGAGTTTTGGGCTTGAGAGGAAGGAAATACTACTAATACCATGAGAGATACAAGAGCTATTGAAATCTTACAAAACCCCATTTTGGTTTCTTAAACAAATATTCCTTGGACACAACACCAACAATAACTTAGGTCAACAAACTAGGTCGGAACAACATTTCTATTTTTTGAGATAAATAGGTCAATAGATATGACTTATGGGAAAAATTCTTAGGGTTATATAGGAGATGCCAACACTTAAAGATGGAGGGTGATTTATTACATAAAGGGAAAATCATTTATTTTGATGTAGTTGAGATGACAAAGTGTAGCTAGGCCTTTAGATCTAATAACGCCCGTAACGGAAGGAATCATGAGGCTTATTATAATTAGATAGACTTGATCTCCTCTCAACTTCATTACCGTAATTTGACTTTTGTCTCATTCTGAGCCACATATATGGAGTATTAGTAAAGATTACATGCACGGAAGAAGTAATAGTTGCTTTAAGGTAACAACAATAATACTTTGGCTAAATTTACTAACCAAGTATATTGACTAAATCCACTGTTGTTGTTCGATTTGGAGTGGTTCTCTATAATAAAGAGGGTTTACTCTTAACTAAACGACAACGATGAATTTGGTCAACAAATTTGACAAATAAATTTAGTCTAAGTAGCAATGCTCGTAAATTAATTGAAATGTCTCTATTTATGATAAGAACGTTCCTCAATCTTGGGGGATTGTAGTTTTTTTTTTCCGTAAGTAAGATGAATTTTATAGAACCGAAAGGGGAACCAAATACAAAGGTTGAAAGGTGTATTCAAAGGGATGATTGATCTTCTAGACAATTGGACAGAAGATCCTCCAAAATAGAAGAGAGGTATGGGGGATTGTAGTCGCAGTTCACAAACCACTAACCACTTGCACTGAACCCTAGCGCATCCGAGGTGAATTGAGTTGTGCCAAACCACCTAGTATAGTGCCCACATTTTCCCCCTATGCAAGAGTTGGAGTTGTAGTCATACATAGGCTTCTCCTTAACCCACAGGTTTACATCTTTGGCTTCGGTAGTGCCATAACTGGCCTCGACAAGGTTTTTGCCATAGGGGCCATTGGAATGCACCAAATTGCAGTCATCAGCCTTCTTATTGACATAGTTCTGTGTATAGGCAGCTACTTTATTGTCCCGTGTCATAGGGCCAACACCCACTTGTGCTCGAGCACCATTGTGAGCAATGAGGTAGTCTTTTGGTGAGTTTTGGGCTTGAGAGGAATGAAATACTGCTAAGACCATGAGAGAAACAAGAGCTATTGAAATCTTACAGAACCCCATTTTGGTTTCTTAAACAAAACGTCCTTGGATGTAACGCCAGTAGTAAATTAGGTTGGAATAACATTTTGTTGTTTCAGATAAACAGATTAATAAATATGAGAACACTCCTTAGGGATTTATATAGGAGATGACTTAAAGAAGTGCATTTCCCTTTTTTCCCAAGGATTTTAGGACGTATTGTATGAAAACTGACCCAACTTGGTCATGCACTCATGCTATAACTTAAACCAGAGAAGTTACGATTTGATGATGTCAAGTTCGAGTTGATTCATAACAGTTGGATCACTTCTAACTTTGGATATATATATTGGTGGGTGCATATCCAAAGTTCAGAATTACTCATGTAGCTTAATAATTATGGAGGTCATATTGATAATAAGAGTCATAGGGTATAGTACAATGATAATCGCTCAAACATTAGCTAGCCAAGCCTCATTCTTGCCCTAAATAGGAATCCAAATGCGGAGATCAACTTGTTTTAGGTCATAAAGGGAGTATGTTTCGATCTTACTTGAAGGACATCTCACTTAATGTCCCTACTAATAATCGAAAGGGTTTACTAAAAAAGCTAATAGGGAGGGAGCAAGAAAGAGAGGAGGTTTTCCCCAATCCCAACCCCCCTCAAATCTTAATTCCTCAAATTAGTCAATTTTTAACTTATTTTTCAAACCTAGTTTTTTTTTTAAAACGTCATTTCAAAAACTTAATAAAAAGTTATTTCCTGTACATCTTAGATTTTTTAACTCTACCGCCTCTCTCTCTCTCTCAGATCACTCTCTATTGCATCTCTCTCTCAGATCACTCTCACAGTCGGATCCCCTCTCTCTCGATCAGATCACCTTTCTCAGATCAGATCCCCTTTCTCTCGCTCAGATCCCTTGTCCTCCTCTTCCGCCATCCAATCGTAGCCCCCCGTTTTCTTCGACGAGGAGCATCGATTTTGCATCCTTCTCCAACCACTAAGCCAGACTCTTCTCTGATGAGGAAGCCCAGTCGGTCAAGGATCAGTCCGACGAGGAAGCCTTGTCTCACGAAGAGGAACATTTCGGCAATCAAATTTCTTTGGTGATGCTCTCTCCATTTCTTTCAGTATTTTCCACCCTCTATGTGTTAAAATATACAAATCAAATATCTAACATTTCACTCGTATATATAAACAACCTCTCATTTATTAACAAGCCATATAAACAAATGTACTGATTTTGATGAAGTTTTCAAATTGGAACTTCTTGTGTCTCTGCCTATGACGGGGTACGGCACCACAATCCTATAGAGCTAGCATCACTCACTGATATTTTCCAACTTTTTGGTTATTTTTTCAATCATCACCAAAAATTCACTATACTTTCTTTTCCCCAAATAGTAAACTCAATGAGTATGTGGTTCCCTTCTGTGCAGCTGCTTCCACTTGTTTCCCCCCAATCTAGAGCCATTCACATCAAAAAAAAGGAAATTAGAGGTAAAAGCAGCGAAAAGTTCAAACATTTTGGTAGCTGTGCACAAAATCATATTTAATTAGTTGGAAGACATAAGTAACTAAGATGCCATTCGTCCACACACCAAGGCTAATGATAGTTGTCCAGAACCTATGGAAACACCTTGGGTCACAACATTGGACCTTAAATAATTTGAGGTGAATGCCTCAAGGGGTAATCACTCTTAGGGGTATCACATGCATTGATTGAATTGTACTGTGTACACATAACATACCTATCTAGTATAAGATGCTTATACTTGATTAAAGGCTCGCCAAACTTATGTGTACAGATTTAGGGACATTGATTTACAAAACAGGTTTATCTGGACTCCTTTGCAAAACTGTGGTAGTCTAAAACTCAGCATCAATGAGTTTTTACGTTTTCATGTTCACTGATGCCAATAGTGCCTTTGTTCTAGGCTTTGGATACATTCAATGCGGCTATCGTTTCTCCAATATATTACATGATGTTCACTATTCTTACCATCGTTGCTAGCGCAATAATGTTCAAGGTAGATTGCCTGGTTCATCCACTTATGCTGCATCTGGTTTCACACAATTACGAGGGAATTTAACTGTATTATCTATGTTGACATCTATTTTTTGCAGGATTGGTTAGGTCAGGATGCAAGCAGCATAGCTTCTGAGACAAGTGGATTCATCACTGTACTTTCAGGGACAATTATACTTCATGCAACGAGAGAACAGGAACCAGTTAATGCATTAGATACAAAGAGAATTTAACTTTTCTGTGGTCATCCATCACGGCAATGTGCCAATGTCCTAAATGCATTCCTACCATAAGAATCATGGAAGGAAGAAGTATGAGAATATATTGCGTATTCCACGTTAACCCAAAAGTTGATTGGACCAAATATTTATAGGATGCAGCACAATGCAAAGGCAATTCATTGTCTTATTGGAAAGTTGTCCAGGTATACAATGCTTTAACATAAATGTGTCTGCCACCAGACCGTCTACAGGCTTCATGAATTTATGTGTATCCTGAAATGATGATAAGAATCAATTGAACATAAGTACTGTTGCTGAATTTCTTAAATCATTTGATGGATGACTACTTGAAAATGCTTCTTATTGGGTGTGTATTGTCTAGATGCTCATTAATGTCCTATTTTTAAAATCTGTTGAAAGAAATGTATTGGCTGATCAATGCAGGAACCTTAACATGGTACAATGGAGAGTCGAAAAAGAGTGCCGAGGATGCACATTTTATCACTTTGCACGATTCGAATAGTGGAACTCTTTCTTTGAGGTAATTACTCAACATTTCCTTAACAAGATTTTTGCTTAAAGCACTTTATAACACTTTATAATGCACAGTTTGCTAAAATATTGGTCTGGTTTTGGATTTTGCAGGCTCTCTCTGTGTTGGATATATTTGCAGAAAACAATCCTTGAACAACATGCCATACAGGCAACACACCTAACATACAATACAGTGAAGGAAAAGAGGAGGATGAGAGTAGAAAAGGGTTAAAGAGTGGTTTGCCTACAATATGTTTTGTGAAGAGTTTGAAAGAGGAAGATGAATGGAAAAGGGTTTTGTACATACAACCTGTATGATGATGTATAGCCTTTTTGCATGGAGGCTGTTATTAGTACTTGTTGTTCTTTGGCTTGGGGTACACTTATATAAAGATAAATAATGAAAAATTGAATTCTATTTATCGGGGTTTCAAAATGTACAAGAAATGAGTGGTATTGTGGCTTTTTTTTTTTTTGAGGTATATGATCATCATAGATAAAGCTTCAAGTCTCCTCTGTTTGTGATGTTGTGAGGAAGCATTGCTATTGAAGAATAACCACTGAACTAGTAGGTGAAATGAATCAAATTCATGATGGCTTGTTTAAAGCTAAAATACTTTTGAAATTTTAATAGTTGGGTTTAATATGTACTAGAATTGGCTGGGAAATTCAGTTAGAGAACTCGGATCATTCTCTCTTTAAATTATGCTTTTATGAATTTTATTTTCGATTATAAAATAAGTTTAAAATTATTATGAAAACAAAATTAAATTCTAAAATTTATTTATTTATATATTTATTTTTTTGTTTGTTGAATCATGATGTGAGAAATTAGGTGGAGTAATTAGCTTTTATGAAATTTATTACAAGTAGGTCGGAGACTTTTGGCTAAGAAAAAGTTATTGTAAAAGGTTAAGAAGACGTTTTTAAAATTTCATTGTAAATAAAGGGGTAAAAAACATAATTATTTATAAAAGGGCAGAAAATGTCATTGTAAATGACGTTTTCACCTCCTTATTTTTTTAACGTCGGTTAGTGGTCATTTAAAAATTAATGTTTAAAAATGTCATTAAAAATGACGACTTTAAAAACGTCATTAAGAATGATGTTTTTTTTAAAAAAATTCAACTTTAAATCGTCATTCCAAATGACGTTTTAATATCTGAAAAACATCATTTAAATGACGTTTGTAAAAAAAAGTTGGATTTGAGAAATTAGTTTCAAAACTGACTGAATTTTAAAATTAAGATTTGAGGGGGGCCGGATTTGGGGAAAACCTCGAAAAGAGAGAGTCAACATGTTATTTTGGTCATCCTTCTTTTCTACTGTTTCACTTTAGCCTCTCAATTTTCAATATCTGTCACTATAATCCAATTGAGATGTTGGTTTGGTCCTTCAAATTTTATCACTTTGATCCTTGAAGTTTGTAATATTTGTCCCTTAAGTTCCTTGAAAGACTACCCCTCAAATGTGGTCACATAAGATGTTCGTGACTACTTCTATTAATCAATTTAAACTAACGTACATCAAGTGCAAAAAAGAGAAACAAAAGTTTTGTAGGCATAGTTTCTATATTTCGCCAAAGAGTAATGTTAGGGATACCCAATAGAATCCCAAACGATTTTGGACCCTTGAATCAGTCGGTCTTTCTAACTTTTTTCAATTGGACCCATTCATCCAAACATCCTACTCATTTGGAATTCATTGGAGATCCCCAGTTTTGGATCCATGCATAGTATTTTCCTTCGCCAAAAGTCCTAAGATTTCTTGGCAAAGCATATTAATTTTTTTTTTTTTGGTTCAACGATAAAGGGTGTCTGAACGAACTTACGTGCACAACAAATAATCTTCTCTCCAGTCCGGTTAAAGACAGATCATCCACGCCGAAATTATGGTATTTATGAGAGATAAATCTCTTATGATCTGGCTCCAAGAAATTGCCAAAATTCGAATTTAAAATATCTAAACTTATAACTCGTCCTTATTTAACTACCACTCGCTAAGCATATTAAATTTCCACACAAAGAACACAGCATAATTATATAGCGAGAATAATAAGAGATACAAGGCTGTTTGGTTAAGGTAAATCATCACTCAAAAACACACAGCATACTCTTATTTATGATCAAACGCTATTAGCTACTAGCATTTGCTTAAAGATTATTAGAGAACCATCTCTCTCTAGTAAGGACGCTGCCCGATGACATTGCCTGGTGGATCGTAGTTGCAAGTCACAAACCACCCGCCATTGTTGCATTGAACCCTAGCACAACCGAGACGAGTCGAGTCACGCCAAACCACCTGAGTGTAGTGCCCGCACTGCTCACCAGTACAAGAATTGGAATTGTAGTCATAATTAACACTCTCACTGACCCACAGGTTCACGGCATCGGTTCCTGATAAGGTGCCAGTTCCGGTGGCCAGGTTTTCGCCGTATTGGCCTTGCGAGTGGATGAGGTTGCAGTCATTGATCCTTTGATTTGCATAGTTTTCTGCATAGGAGGCTACGTTGTTGTCCCATGTCAGAGGACCAACACCCACCTGTGAACGAGCTGCATTGTGGGCATTGAGATAGTCTTCGGGTGAGTTTTGGGCTTGAGAGGAATGAAACATTACCAAGCCTAGGAGGCAAACAAGGGCTAGTGAGGTCTTACACATACCCATTTTGATATCACTCTATTGCTTAGCAAAATCTTAGGTTATTTGTGAAAAACTAGGTAGGAGATGAAAGGCCTATATATAGGTGAAAGAGAAACGTTTTTCAGACGGTTTAGTCATAACACATGTTCCACGGCAACCGTGATTGGATGCAGTAATTTTCTCTACATTTACATTGAGAAAGTTTGATGATGGAATGATGACGAGAAAGTTTGACGATGGAACGATGTTATTCAATTTAATTTATCGACTTAATTCACCTTAGTTATTGAATTAATATCAAATATCTATGTTGAATGAGGCTCTCTGTTAATTCAAATACCGTAGTAAATTAGGCTAATAAATTATATTTGAATAACAATTTTTTTTTTCTTTTTTTTCGGTAAGGAAGATGAATATAATAAAAATAAAAAGAGGTCCAGGAACAATTTACAAAAGAGAGTCCAACGGGATGATTCATCTTCCGAACAGGAGAAATGAAGATCCTTCATCCCCAAAACAAAAAGAATACAGCAATGTTATTCTTGATGATATAGTAATGTTACTTAAACTTAATTTTTTGATGTAATTCACTACAGCCGTTGGATTAGCACAAGTCTCAATATTGGATGTGGTCCACAATTAATAGATGTGACAGATTAGATCAGTAAATTAAGTTATTAAATTAGGTGATTATAGAGTAATATGTTGCTTGAACATAATTTATTGAGTTAATTTACTATAAAAATTGAATTAATACAAATAATTACTATTAATTCTTAGACATTGGTTCTTGAAAGGGCCCGATAAGACTTTTTTAACTTAAAATCAAAGTCACGGTCCAAATTACAAAAATTATCTCTTTTTGCACATGAGAATAATGTTACATATGTCTGATCTTTTATGTATTCCATAATTACGGGAGTCTCAAATGATACTCTATTCAGTTTTTCTTTCAAAAAAAAAAGTGTTAGATGTAACAAAATTCATGCAAATCTAACAACTAAAGGTCAAAATGTTGCGAACCATTTGCCTGCACTCCATAAAATCATATGATTAAATATAAAAATAAAAAATAAAAAAATGGATTTAGAATGTTTTAACAAAGATCTGTTAGTTGTGTCATTATAATGCTATTGAAGGTTAAAGAAGAATATTGGTGTTTAGTCTTGAATCTTGACTATGGGTGTTGTGAGTCTTACAGTTTTTCTTTTTTTGAACAAAGTCTTGCGGTTACCAAGGTGGGTTTTTTTTTTTCTCTCTTTCACACTCCTTTTTGCCCCAAAAAGCTCTTATTTTCCCAATCTCTCTCTCATTTCAAACTTTCGCCTTATTACTTGTCTGTTTTTGTGTCTCATTGTAGTCGGACAAAAGAAAACTTGGAAGCGTTTAGAAAATGAAAGTCTTGAGTCTTCCTTCATGTTTTTCTTGCCAGACTTGTATTTGGCCCACAAGACCGACAGTCGTGGGTGGTGCTTTTTTTTTTTTTTTGGGTATCGATGAGATCGCAAAATATAATTTTTTTGAAACTAGTTATAACCTTTTTGGTGTCTTTGAAATCGAGTTTAAAATCCTAAAATTAGTCGAAAACACCCGTACTTAAAAATAATTTAATCCATAAAAGTTTCAATTTTAAGTATTGTATCTCTTTTAATACTGTAATTGTAACATTTAAAATTTAATGTGGTCATCAAATATAATTATGTATATATGAAGGTCATGGTGTGAAAAGCACCATGACGTCTTTCTAACGTGGTCATCAAGTCTACGTAAATAAGAAAAGTTCGGGGTCCATCTTTTTTTTTTTCCTCGTGGAAACAATTGAGAAGGAGAAATTTCCAAATATGAGAGCTGTGACATGAATATCCTGTGTTCATTGAACCAAGTTATTCGGGTTTTGATACGAAAAGTCTTATTCGAATTAATTGTAGTTGTCAATTTTATTCATGAATACGGCGAAACTTAAATCCATGTACAAGATATTTGATAACGAGATATCAATTTTTTTTTTCTTTTATTGTCGCCATCAATTCTACGTACGTAAGAAGGCAATGGTTGGGTCCATGAAGACTGGTGCCACATGTTGGACATTTTATGTTATCATCAACTCTGCGGACATAGAAATCCATGTCCAAATTAAAGGGATTTTGATACAAAATGTTCAGATTAGAAATCAAGACATTTTATGTTATCATCCGGTGCTATGATGTTATTTTTTCACGATAGAAAATATGTATATATAATATTGTAAACGAATCAAGTCCGATCCTACCAAGACAAGCCACACACAGTTCGAGTTTAAAAGTTTGTTCATTTTTTTTGTTTATTTTTTAATATGAACAAACTAAAATCGAGTCCAGGTTGCCCCTATCCATTTCCCTATAAGCCTATTTTACGCAGTCGTTCATATCCCTCTGTCCACAGCTTGGAAAGAGCAGACTAAGACAAGATTTAAATCAGAGTGGTCCTCAAAACTAGAGTGGTCCTCAAAACTAGGGGTGTTCACCCCCACCTTACAGATAAAAAATATGGTCTTTCATCTTTCTATTTGATATTTTGCAAAAAAATTATTTTTTCAATATCTATCACTTTAATCCAATTGAGATGTTGGTTTGGTCCTTCAAATTTTATCACTTTGATCCTTGAAGTTTGTAATAACTATATATATATATATACGGGTAAGATAAGGTAGGAATACGAAATTTTGATAGACATTCCGTATTCCTACCCGATTTAATCAGAAGATCAAAAAATCTTTCGCATTTCTATCCAATTTTTTTTGAATAACCGATCAATAAAGTAGAATAGAAAATTGCAGTAATCAAAAATTTGAATGCCCTTCTCAAAACTCTAATCCCTGTAAGATTGACCAACTGATAAACAGTTAATAAAGAGAGTTGAGCCTTGCAAGTTACGGCTTGTTGATTTTTCCCAATGTCCTTAAAGTAGGAGTGTCTATTTTACCATTGGATATGTACGATACATACTTAAATATGACACGAAGGAACAATACCGAAATTAATGCGGACTTTTCTTATACGATAAGTCTACGGTATTACAAAAGTACAATACCGAAATTAATGTGGAGTGGTTGATTTTGATATATATGGATGAACTACAATTATACCATCATTCAATATTCCATCCAAACAAAGTATTGGATGTGATAAATATGAGATCCACTACTTCTTAATACTTGAATCAAACTTGGGATGAGAATGCATTATCACTATAATTAGTTCAAGGCTCGAATGGATAGGTATGGAATGAATGAATTTGTCCAATCCGATACTATCTAATGTCTAAGCCAAACATACCCATTAATATATAATAAAGTAGAACGAAATTTGAATCCAAAAAATAAAGAGAGGTCCAGATCGTTTTGAGACAAAACATAAACACATCCGATGAACAACGTAATTCCAACATAAAAGACGATTCAGATCATCTCAAAAATTTTGATTTAACAGTCTACAGTTAGTTCTGAATTTCTTTTCCCGCCCATGAAGAAGCCTCTTATCGTAAAACTCTACACTCCTATCTCTCATACGTCTCTATCTTAAATTTGAAAAAACACAATAACAATTCAGATTAAATTCATTTTAAATTAAATAATCTAAATTTCATTTAAATTAATCAAACTTAATTTAATAGCTCACAACACATCCCACACAAAAATAAAATTCCACCAGGGGTAGAGGCAGAAAAATACTTTAGGGTGGGCACATTAATAAATTTTAATTGTTTTTTTTATCAATGTTACCAATGACTTAATTCAATGTAACTGTTATTTTAGTTGTAAATTTCAATGTTAGATGAAGTCTACTTTCAATCAAAGGGAGGCATTGAATTATGTCATCAAATTAGATCTAAATAGTATTTTTTATTTTTTTTTCAATTGAGCATAGAAGTTTATAAATTCATATTTACTATAATTATGCGTAAAAATTCATTAAACACAAAAGGTTAAAAAACGATTTGCATAAAATGAACAAACAAAAAATAAAAATAAATTAATTAAAACTTTGTATGAGACTAATTATTATCAGTTTACGATTAAATCTGATTATTGTTTATCATTTAAAAGAATTACAAATCAATGATATCAATGAATATTTTTTTTTATATACAAAATGGTAATAACAGTCTTTCATTTATTACCCTGTAATTTATTACATTATGACGCTCATTTCTATACAATAATAAAATAATCTTATAATTTAGAAAAATGAACGCGATATGTCTAAAAATTATTCGGACATGTTTGTTTCTAAAATTTTAAGAATAATAGTAATTGAATCTAATTCAAAATTAATTTTATATCTTGACCAAAAAAAAAATTCAAAATTTAATTGGTAGGAACCCAATGGTTTGTGGCCATTGGATGGATAGTAGTCGTTATTAAATGTAGGGACTCACTATTAGATTTAATATCATAATGTATTAGTTACAATAACATTATTTAAATATTAATTATTATTTAAGTAGTCGTCTATTTTAATTGATATCACAATAATACAATAATAAGGTAGACACAATTAAATGTCTAAATTTAATTTTAAAAAATATATATTTATTGTAAAAAAAAATTGAGGGTGGACACAATTAAATATATCTAAATTTTATTTTAAAAAATATATATCCAAGGTCAAAAATAAAAAATTTGAGGGGGGCACGTGCCCACCCTGGTCCAAGGGTGGCTCCGCCTCTGAATCCCATCTAATTTAACTACACTCACATGCTATCCATTTTGTCTAACACACAACCCAAACTCTTTCTCTTTCACCCATTAACCGTCTAACTTATTTTAGTTTCTCAGAAATTATTGTCATCCTCCTCAGTTTCTCATCTCTCAATGCAGACTTCAACAATGAACATATCTTTTTCAGCGACGCATGACATAATCTGGAGACTCATTGGACTTACCCACTCCGACCATCCACTCTCTTTCATCCAAATTGTATTGGCAGTGATCTAACATCCGGAAGTACTCTCGCTGATACCCATTATTGTTCATCGTTGATTAT